ACCCACGCAAACACGGGGAGAACATGCAAACTCCACACAGAAAGACCCCGGCCTGATGTTGGAATTGAACTCAGGACCTTCTTGCTGTGCGGCAACAGTGCCGCACAGCAACAAGGAGAAAAAATTTGTTTGGGCCAAGAAACACAAGGAATGGACATTAGACCAGTGGAAAAATCTGTGCTTTTGTCTGAAGATTGCAAATTTGAGATCTTTGGTTCCACCTGCGTTGTCTTTGCACGATGCAGAAGAGGTGAATGCATGGTCTCAACATGCATGATGAAGGCAAAAGGGCCAACAAGTGACAAATGGGTGAACAACAAGTGACAAATGGGTGAATAAGTGCTCAGTATCTCTGGGAACTCCTTCAACACTATTGAAAAAAGAGTGTGCAAAGCAGTAATTTGGCTAATTTGAAGAATCAAAATATAAAACATGTTTTGAGTTATTTCAGTTTTTTATTTACTGTATAATTCCATATGTGCTCATTTATATGCCTTCAGTGAGAATCTTCAATGTAAAAAGTCATGAAAATAAAGAGAAACCATGAAATGAGAAGCTATATCCAAACTTCTGATTAGGCTCTGTCTGAAACAGCTGGCATGATGTGGAAGCTCCTGTACCTCATGCCTGACAGCAGAACATGGAACGTGTATGGCTGGGATATAACTGCCATATCAGGTCGTGCACAGTAAGGGGCTATACATATCCCTGAGGGGGCACCCGTACTGAGACTGCATCAGTATGCATCTTCGTCATTAATAGAAGATTACCTGAACAAATTTCCACTCCTACCAGTGCATTATCAACATTCTGCTAATTTAATAATGATAATAATAATAATAATAATAATAATAATAATAATAATAATAATAATAATAAGGCATTTTATTTGAGGACGCATTTCAGAAACCCAAGGTCACCTTACAAAGAACAAAATTAATAAAAGGAACAATAGTCATAAAATACATAAAATAAGTTAAAATGGCAAAACAGAACTTGACAACAGATAAAATCAGCACTAAAGCAAATAAACCAGTTTAAACAGTTGGTGTTTTGAGCTGTGTCTTAAATATGGAAAGGGAGTCAATATTTCTTATGGCTGGAGGAAGAGAGTTCCAGAGCCGAGGAGCAGAGCAACTGAAAGCTCTGTTCCCCATAGTAATAAGGCGTGAGGATGGAACAGTAACATGAATAGCAGATGATGATCTGAGAGGGCAGGAAACAGTGGTGATGTGGAGCAGGTCACACAAATATGAAGGAGCAGATTTATGGATACGCTTGTATGTAAGAAGTAAGATTTTAAAATTTATCCTGGCTTCTATGGGCAACCAGTGAAGCTGCTGAAGAACTGGGGTAATAGGAGCTCTTAATGGAGTATGAGTTATGACGCGAGCTGCAGAATTTTGAAGAAGTTGGAGTTTATGAAGGGACCTTTTAGGGAGACCAAATAGGAGGGAATTGCAGTAATCAATGCGGGATGTAATAAGACTATGGACAAGGATGGCAGCAGCATGGGGAGTAAGGAAGGGACGGAGTCGGTTAATATTATGTAAGTGGAAGTATGCAGACCGGGTTATGTAATTAATGTGAGACTGGAATGAAAGAGTATCATCAAGTATGACACCAAAAATCTTAACCTGAGGGGAGGGAAGGCTAGGAGAATTTTCAATGTTAATGGAAAAACTGTCGGATTTGGTTAAGATAGATGGTGTACCAACAAGTAAAACTTCAGTTTTATTACTGTTAAGTTTGAGAAACGGCAACGGGTGAAGTGTCTTGCCCAAGGACACAAAAAGCCGGGGCTTGAACCGGCAACCTTCCGATTACAAGGCAAACTCCCAACTCTTGAGCCACGATCGACCACCCATTGTGGTCAACAGCCCAGTCAGTCTTGCGGGGAGGATGACAAGTTTGTGACCAGATGGACAATATTGAGTTAGTGTCACTGATGTTGAAATTCCACCGAAGCCCTTGAGCTTGAAGGCGATGTCCGGGTAGAAATATAGAGCCACAGGTGGAGAGACAGCCAGGCAAAAACCGATCGGCATAAGATCCGTAGCAGAGTACTGGAGAAGAGCTGTCGTTGGGTGATGAATGATGGATAAAAAAACCCAGGTGAGCATGAGCCACACCAACACCCTGTGGATCTGCATCTTAATCAGGGCCGAGCACTGAACACAAATGGAGGGACCGAACAACCAGTTGACAGCTGCAGCGCAAGCAATAAAAGCCTGCAAATATTGCGAAAACAAGTCAAAACAGGGTTGCGCCTTAGATACTCGATTCAAATTGTCGTCAGCAACTGAAAAAATTATAACAAAAATTGTAATAATAACCGGTGAGCAGTGGCAGCCAAGCGCGCCAGCGTTCACTCGACCGGAACCCACTCTGTAAAACCATTTCCTATATATGTTATAATTCAATTCAATTCAATTCAATTTTATTTATATAGCGCCAAATCACAACAAAAGTCGCCTCAAGGCACTTCATAGATACAGAGAAACACACAATGATATGTCATTAAGGTAATTATTGAAATTATAGTTATAATAGTGTATAATAGCCATTAAAAATGGTTAGACCTAAATATTAACCATAGTACCTATTTTCTTGAGATTGTTTAATTCAGGATTACAGGCAATCTACAGCCTCTCCCAGCTTTCATAGAGCAAGACACAAGGTACACCCTGGAAGGGTTGCCAGTCTTTAACAGGACTAACACAGAAAGAAGCTACCGTTCATATTTACATTCATACCTTCAAACTAACCTAATATGTATGTCTTTGGACTGTTGGAGGATGAGAGGGTACCCACAGGAATCCCAGGGAGAACATGTGAAAGCCATACATAAGGGCACCAGCCAGAAGATTAAAACCCAGGATCTTTTTGCTATGAGACAGTAGTACTAGTAGTACCACATAGTGCTGTAAAACATTCTGCAGCGATTTCAGTTTGTAATAACATTGTAATTATGGATTGCTGCAGATTTTTTGGATGCACAATCATGATGTGAATCTCCTGTTCCACATTCCAAATACCCTTTATTGGACTGAGATCTGTTGACAGTTTAAGAACTCATTGAAACCATCATTTGAGCTTGGTGACATGGTGCATAAGAAGATGGGTAGACTGTGGTCATAAAGGGATGGAGAAGGTCACCAACAATACTGATGCGGGGATACAAGGCTAGATGGATTAATCTCTTCATATTGATTACACCAAGTTCTAACTCTTCAATCGAAAGGTTGACGCAGAGTCCAGTTCATTTCTGATACATTTATATAGTTACAATTTATAGCAACACAGACAAAGTGCATGGACAAGAATTGAGACAGCAAGGGGAGTCTGGAATGCATCCTGACACATTCTGTTCAAAAGCACATGACCATGCTTTTGAAAACATAAGTGCTGCCAATGATAGACCACTGACCGGTGCAGCCCTTAGAGGCTTGGGCCCAAATGGTGATGGACCTGGCCATCATGCACATGGAGCAGGCAGTGATGCATCGCTAACAGTTGGACCAGCTACAGGATCAACCAAAGCACCAAACTAAAATCTGGTCTCCACCTGGCCCTGGTGTTGACGCTCTGGGTCTACTGCTACTGACACTGCCAGCTTGGACACAGTGGTGACCCTTGCAGAGGACCATCTTGCAGCTTGGCGAGGTAGCCAGTGGGGCTGCTATGACCCAGCCCCAAGGAGGAGGCTTCTGTGCCAATGTCCTCTGTCTCCAAATAACCCCTTCTCCTCTGCTGTTTCTCCCAGTCCCAGTGGCAACAAATACTGTGGCCCATCTGTTGGGAGTCACACAAACATCAGGGAAGGAGTGCTGGAGGTGTGGGCAGGATAAATCCAGTGTGCGGGCTCACTGCTCACGATCAGCTGTTCCATGTTGCAAGCTCTCTGAAACCCTCCCTTGGACCAGGAGGGATGCACAGTGTACCGGAAAGGTGCCAAGGAGGTATACAACAGTTTTGTAGGGGTTAAATAACTTGTTGGGGCAGTATGTGAGGATGCGTTCACAAATGATAAAACTTGTGATGCCTGTGCTGTGCACAGCGGCGATGAAAAGTTGTTTGACCTGAGTTATTGTTCGGCCAGAAGCCACGGGGGGTGTTGGACCTAACTAAAGAAAACTGGGATGAAGGTTCAAGCCAAGCTAGGAATAAATTTCACTACATTCTGGACCAGAAAGCAAAGCTACACAAACTGGGAAGTTCTCATGGAATAATTTGCTCAAGTCCCTGGAATGTCAGCATCTCCTGTAAAACAGAGAGGCTCATCTCAGGCAGTTTTCAACGGGAGAGTGCTTGTAAGTGCTTGTATTGCTTGCTTTATTCAACCCACCAAGTAGCAACGGCTGTTGGTGGTCACGCGGCAAGTAAGAGACATTAATTATGAAGTGGTATGGTCAGACAGGGGCGGGGCCGCACAAATCCATCACCTCAACCTCTTTAAAGCATGGAGAGAGGCTAAAATTGGTTCTCTGATGAGCTTGGTTAAGAAAATAAATTATTTGGAGCCCGAGGTGGCAAATTCAAAGTTATAACAAAGATAAAATCCATAGGAAAGTACAACTTGGAGTTGTGCTTCCATGTCTGTGAAAGAATATGCTTGTCCATTGTTTGATTAAAACCATGGCCTGGATGCTTCCCTGCATCAGTTAAGTTATATTGACATATCATATTGAATTATGCAGTCTAAAAACACGCAGCGTTAATTTATGATTTCAAAGAAGTGGCTATCATGAAGTTAAACTACTTTTTTTTGAAGATCATGTGAATTATTTTTCAAAGACCCAGCAATACTTTTCCCAAGGAAAAAAAAATTAGAAATAATTCTAAAAGAAACAGTTAAATAATTCTTCTTAGAAAATAAACATAGACATCCACTCTGAAAACACAAGAAACACATAGCACTGATCCCGCATGACAATTTTGATATTTGTTGGAGCTAAATCTAGTTCCTGACAGAACTGGCAGCAGTAGCCACATCTTACCTTGAACAATGAGGTGCACTTTCGTGGATTGTGGTTTCTTGTTTGTGAGTATAGAGCATACATAGGGCCCTTCATCATGGACATCAACATTTTGGATTTTGATGCTGTACTCTGTAACTGCTGTGTTTTCCAACAAGATGACACGAGGATCCAGAGACCACTTTTCACTTCCTGCAAATAGAATAGTGGTGCGATTGAGCCATGCCACTCGTGAGACTTTGCTGTCCACATTGCATCTGGCAGGCAGAAAGAAAGAGAAAGAAAGAAAAACATATTAGAAGTTTATCCCTGCACATTAGTTTTAACTTCCAAGAAACCTCAAACGAATTAGATTAGACGACAGTTCATATTATAACATGAGGTGTTGCTTATGAAATATCTATGCCGTATTTCCTTTCCTAAACCAAGTGGATGACCTGAATACAATCTTCTCAAGAAACTTCATCACAAATCATCACGTCATAAACACTTTGGAGGACATTTTCCCCTTTGTTTAACAAGCCTTTCACAAGCATGCCATTGATAAAATATTTTAATATAATGTTCATATTATATTAAAATATTCACACTATTGAGTTTCTGTTTCTCTTTATTCTTTGTACAGGGTGGGCCATTTATATGGATACACCGTAATAAAATGGGGATGGTTGGTGATATTAAAGTCCTGTTTGTGGCACATTAGTATATGTGAGGGGGCAACCTCCTCAAGATGGCTGGTGACCATGGTGGCCATATTAGAAGTCGGCCATCTTGGATACAACTTTTGTTTTTTCAATAGGAAGAGGGCCACATCAAACTTATTGGTAATGTCACAAGAAAAACAATGGTGTGCTTGGCTTCAACGTAACTTTATTCTGTCAGGAGTTATTTACAAGTTTCTGACCACTTATAAAATGTGTTCAATGTGCTGCCCATTGTGTTGGATTGTCAATGCAACCCTCTTCTCCCACTCTTCACACACTGATAGCAACACTGCAGGAGAAATGCTAATTACAGTTACTTGTCAAAATGTTATGTTGCTTTTTGAAAAAAGATTAAAAAGTTAATGTTCTCAATAGCAACAAGGCTAATAATTTTATTACACTCATTACCTCAATTTAGCTAGAAATAAAGTAACATTTAGATAAACATGAGTCAGTGGTCATTGCTTGAGTGTAAAAAAGTCAGACACTAGCTATCGGAAACAAAACATCCTCAGGACATTTTCTTTAAGAGGATTACAACTGTAATTAAACTGCTGTCTGATTTATTTGAGCAGCTTAAAACAATACTTTGCGTCATTCATGTCAAAGATATCTACTTATTTTTTTAATTTAGGGGAAAAAGCTAAAATTGAAAAAAATAAAAAAAATCCACTAAAATCTTCTTGGACACTTATAATATTCAAAGCCACAATATAGTAAAACATTTTCTTGATAGCATCAGTAAAACAGTGGACTGAAATGGCATGCCATTTTATTAGAACTTTTCAAGGTAAATATGTGCTTCACATCAAAAATACTAAAAAATATAAATACACAAAGTTACCTAAAAGGAAATTAAAATGTAGGTCTTTAGTTACTTTTAAAAAAAGACTATTGAGTTCACAGATAATAATAATAAGAAATTTTAAATTTTATTTAAAAGCACCTTTCAAGACACCCACCCAGACTTAACAATAAAATAAAACACAAAGTAGAACAATGACAAAAAGAAGAACAAAAAAAAAAAGCATGTTAAGTTGACAAACTATAAGTTCATAGCTAATATGCAGATTTTAACAGAACAGGTCTAGAGTTGAGATTTAAACTGGGGGAAAGAGCCAATGTTTCTTATATCTGGGGGTAGAGTCCCAAGGCCTGGGAGCAGTGCAACTGAAAGCTCTGCTTCCCATGGTGCTGAGGTGAAAAGAAGGCACAGCAAGTTGGATAGAAGAAGAAGATAGAAGTGAGCCGGCTGAAGAGGCAGTGCTTAACAGGTTAGAAAGGTAAGGAGGAGCAAGGTTATGAAGGGCCTTGAAGGTGAGCAGAAGAAGCTTGTATACTATTTGCAATTTCACAGGGAGCCAGTGAAGTTCCTTTTGCTGCAATGACAGCTGCCAGTCTTTTAGGGTATGTCTCTACCAGCTTTGCACATCTAGAGACTGAAATCCTTGCCCATTCTTCTTTGCAAAACAGCTCCAGTTCAGTCAGATTAGATGGACAGCGTTTGTGAACAGCAGTTT